ATTGCAGTCAAAGCACTGTAAAACCAACTTCAAAACCAACTTCCAGGTTATCATCATGTTACACTCTTTTATTTCTTCTGCGTGCAAGAGGGGGTCTGGAAATTTTTACAGCAAGAAAATTATGCTACTCTTCCCTGCACTTAAACTAATAATTATATTTCCTCCACCAAAGAATGAAATTTGAGTTCAGTAAAGATCATTTCAGTCAATTGCAACCAGACAAAACTAGCTATCATCTGGCAATCTCAATGTCATCACTTGCTAACTCCTATGAAGAGTGTACTAAAAGTAGTATCCTGTTTGTGGTTTTGGACATATATTATCAGAAAGGTAGAAACAACTCATTCCTGGAAAAAAAAGTCCTGAAGTTGGAGGTGGAAAATGGAGGTAAGGTAAGCCTGAGAGAGAAGTATCAAATATGACTGCTGTTGGAACAAGAAGGCAGGACAATCCTGAGTACTGGAACACTGGATCTTGCAGTGCCCGCCTGCCCAGTAACATCTTTAAGGAAAAGGCAAAGAGATTTCTTCCTGAAGCTGTACAGTGTGGGAATTGATAATGCAGAGTGTCAGGGTACAAGAAACCTGTCTCATGACTTAGCTGTTGTTGGATGCTCTTCAGCATGCAGGAAAACCTTGAGGAAGGCATCTGAATCTCAATGATTTTCAATGAAGTTTGTCCGGTTAACTCAAGGTGAAAGCAAACAAGAGGGTAGATGGTTAGGTCTCTGAGACAGAAAAGTCTTCAATTGTACATGCTGACTCCACACTGTGGGGATGGATGCACAAGGTTATTCTGACAGCTACTGAGTTTACAGAGGATGAGATTTTCTGCCCCGCCATGCAACAGTCTGTCAGAGGTGGAGTGCAGGATAATATCCAGAGTACTGACAGGCAATCTTTTTGAAGCAGACTGGTATTCTGGAGCAAGTCAAGATGGTGGCCTGTGTACCTTTCTGCCCAAGTCAGAAGCAGGACCCTCTGAGGGCATCTTATATTCAGGACAGCACAAAGACTGTCACAAAATCCAGGCTGCAATGCTGACTTGTTCCGTCCATGTTCGTGTGTTAATGTTTCTAGTGTAGCACTGTAAATTGCCAGTAGATGGCATAATGATTCCATGCTACAATAAATTTATTTTTTAAAAAAAAGGAAAATCAGTGCTGAAAGAAATATGCTGAACAATTTTTGTTAATTCTATGTTTAATCATAGTAAAGCTCCTTGTGAAGGAGAGCGCTCAGTAAATGAGTTAACTGGCTGTGGCCTTTCACAGTGCCTTTATGCTGAATTCTTCTATCTACCTTTAGTTTGTGTATTCTCATAGATCTGCTTGCTTGGGTAGGCATTTTGATTTCTACTCACCTCTAATTAGTTTCTCAAAAAAAAAAAAAAAGGGATGTAGGTATGAGTATCCTGATGCACATCTAATTCCTATTTGTTCTTTATATCAGCCAGGTCTGTGTCTTTGCTTCCACTGAACGTTTGTGAACCTGCATTGCTCATCTGGCGCACTGGGTGTTACCTGTGTATCTATATCGGGGGACTGAGTCAAAGACTACACTAAGATTAGAGGCAGATGGCTGAAGCTGCTCTCTGCTTGTCTGCTGAAAGTCAACAGCTCTGCATATTGCAGCCTGAATCACACATGAAATAGACTGTGGGCTGCTGTTGCTTGTGGTCTAGTGTATTAAAGTAAATCAATATCAATGACAGGATCATGTACATTTTCAAAAGCAAAATATTTAAATACCAGCCAGAGTACTAACAGCTTTCTATAAAGGAAAAGTTTTCAGAGCAATTGCATTGATATGTTCAAAGGTGAATTAAAGTTTATGAAAATGCTTTACTAATGGTGAGCTATAAGCAAAAAATGTATACAGCAAGTTTTGCTAGCGTTCAGACCATGAAAAGGATTCAGTACAAAAATAAGTTCTGCTACATTTTTGTTAGCTCCTTTTACCCTCTGCTGAGGGTAAAAAAAAAAAACTCTCTTGCTACTTAAGAGTATCCACCAGTCTCCCAGACTACCTGATTCTCTGTAAACAGCTATGATGCTCATGGATTTTGATCTTGCATTCAGAGAGCTCAGGGGGAGTTAATGGGTCTCCTCTGCTTTTTCAGTTTGTACGTGAAACCAAAAGTGACAACAGATTTCAGTGTTACCAGTGTGATGGCATTACGTTAGTCTAGACCTCCTCTTTGTTCATCCCATTAGGGACTGTCAGCTCTCATCCATCTGGCTGACAGTTCTGTAGCATAAGTAACAGCTGGTTGAAGTAACTCAGACAAAACCGAGAATTTGCTTGTGAGCAGGGTAGGACTTTTCAGAAACTTGCCAGTTTCTATGTAGCTGTTACTCAGGGAATGAATCCATCAATGAGGAGACAGCTATAAAACATGGAGGTCATCCTTGATTGCACTTTCAGGAGGTTGATGGAATTGTTCGGTTGTTTCAATGGAACTGAAACTGTTGCTTGGCAGTTTTTTCCATCTTTTGTGATCAGGGATTCACTTGACATCAAGCTGCAGACATAACTTTGCTAATAGTGAAATTCCTTCCAGAAAAAACCAGGTGCATCTCCCAGATGATGTACTAAGAAAATGAGTAGTTGCTTGTATTTGGTTGTATTTTGATAAATTTATACCTGGACATTTTTATTTCTTTGTTTCCATTTGTACTACTTTTGGTTTGGGTTTTGTTCTTTTTACCTAGAAGGCAACACCCCCAGCATGATATCAAAACTCACAAATAGCATTGTGCAATACACTCAAATGAGATACTGTTATAGCTACTCTTAATCAAAAGGCAATAATCAGCAAATTAATTCTCAGTTGTGTACACTTAAAAATATGGTAACTGACTTATCTGTTTGTATGAAGTACAGCTATTAATATGTAAAGAAGTTACACAGTGAGAGGAGAAGGGAACCATTTACCTAACATTAAAATGGTTGCATGCCAATGGAGGTATTAGAAACTTCTCATATATAAAGATATGTTTCTGCAATGAAAGCTGCACCCACAGTCAGGGTTTCTACGTGAGGATGGAATCCTAGCCAAGAGGCTGTTTAAGTAACTTGTCAGTTTGTTAGCAGGATGATACAGAGAGAGAAGCTTCTTGGATTAGAGTATGAAAGAACAAATGAGGTTTTCTTTTCTTTGGGTTCACAAGGCTTTAAACCAAGTAACTGTATTATCTAGGTTATAAAAATAAATTCTTTGGTTGAGGGAATCCTTAAAACTGGAAGGCATGACCATTCTATGTGGTCTGACAGCATCCTAATATTTATTTATTTATTTTGAGGATATTTAAATAATAAATAAATAGCATTTTTACACTAACTGCATATGAAAACTAGTAACATGAGACGTCACTATGAAGACAATGTCTTTCTGTGGTGTTATACTGGAAACAGTGTTGTATCTCTGGCTTTAACAGAAATCCTACTATTTAGAGATTCTATTGGTAAGTACCTGCTTCATTAATAAAAACTGAAAAAAGTGATGCTCAAAGTTGTTCAATTCAGAGAAGCTACTTTCTAAGACTCTTCAGTTCTAGCATTCTTAGGTTTCCACCCCCAAAACTGCTGAAGTTTCTTGCTTTTGTGAGTCTATGTGACAGAAGAACCTCATTGATTGTTTGTCTTCCTGGTTGTCTCGAAAGTAGAGACATCTCAAAAATACTATCAGAGAAATAATTCACATTATCCCATTCACATGGAGTGACATATGCTTTCAAAATCATGCCTAGTATAATATAGTGTTTTTATTGAGATCAGCTGATGACCAGGTTCATCATCTCTAGTATAATCATGCTTAATAATTAAATGTTTTCAACGTGTTCAGTAATTAACTCTGACATGAGTAAGAGAGGTAAAAAGGAAGCAAGTGTAGCCAAAACGTGACAATGAACACGTATGACATAACAGGACATGCTGTTTAAAGGGAAAATAGGGGTAGGGAAGGTGTTACAGCCCCCTTGGTTTCTCCTGTAACTCTGTGCCTGCCCACTAACAGCTTTTCATACCACTGTACTGTCAACAAGTTCTAGTTATTCATCAGAAACAAACTGCAGCACTGTAAATCATTGGGTTAGAAGATGACACTTAGGCCTTCATTTAATGACCAATTTTAATTTGTTTTCTAAGTTTTTTTGTAACTTTTTCTAGCAAAAGCTTGATTATTATTATTTGCATGGTAACTATTAGGATTTTAAGTTAAACTGTCTTAATTCTAAATGGATCTGTTACCAAGGAAGATACATCTACTTCTTACATATTTATGTTCTTCAGGTTTGCATTTGTGTCCTTCCACATTTGAAGTAGCAAATTATCTTATCCTTTGTTTTTACCCACAAACTGAAAAACAAAGGAGCCTTCCCTGCCCTTCCAACACCCACTCCATTTCTCATAATAAGCCAAGTGTTGAAAAATTTTGTGCAGGGACAGATTATCCATGCCACAGAGTCAGAGCAAGCTCCGCAAAACATTTTTAGCAACTCTACCGCTTTTAGGGCCCAAGAGCACCAGCTGCAAGGTCTGAAAGATGTCACGAACAGCCACCCCCGCAGCATCCGTATCGGCCCTAGCGAGGGGCAGGTGCCGCCGCGGCCTTGCTGGTGCCCGGCCCGAGGTGAGGGGCTTCCCCGCAGCCTGCCCTGTGCAGCCGCGGGCCGAAGCGGCCGGCCCAGCGCCGAAGGAAGCGCCGTCCGCCCGGCGCCTCACCTCCCCGACCCGGGCAGCCACCGCCCCCTGGCGCTCGGGCCCTGCGGCGCCTCACCCGAGGGAAACCGCCGGAGCGCTTCCGCCTCGCTACGCGTCATGGCCGAACAGCTCCCTCGCTCCGATTCGCCAGTGCTCTGTACGTCACCTGACGGCGCGCCACGCTCTCAGGTGCGCACGCGCACGGCGCCCGAGCCCTTTCCGCCAGCCCCGTGCGCACGCCCGGCTCTCGGCGCATGCGCGAAGGCGACGGCCCCGTCCCGCGAAGGCGGCGGCGCGATGGCGGCGCGGAGCGGGGTCCTGTGGCTGCTGCTGCTCTGGCTTTCTGCGTCCTCGCTGCCCGATGGCGCCCGTGGCTCGGAGGCGGTTGGGACAGCGGAGTCGCCGGGCGGCGCCGGCCCCGGGGAGCGGTTTAAGATCGAGGGCCGGGCCGTGGTGCCCGGGGTGAAGCCGCAGGACTGGATCGCCGGGGCCCGGGG